TCCTCTCTCTCTCTCTCTCTCTCTCTCTCTCTCTCTTATTATATCTAACATATATTTTTATCTCCCTTGGTGATATACCTCCCTTTGATAAGATCAATGTTTCTCATTTATGCGATATGTATATTTTTGGGCTTGCGTGCCTATAATTAAGTTGTAATTGCATGAGATAGCGTAGTGGGAGTGTGGAGGTGCTAGCAGAACTTGTGCGGATGAGACGGATGTTTGTCGAGCATGGAGATACGTCGAGATGCCAGCGGGACCAATAAGACAAGATTGATGATCACTAGGCATAGAGATACGTTAAGATACACATAGATTTTTATGTACATGATCATGTCTTTTGGCTCAGGTCTAATTACACTAGGTTATGGTCCGTAATCATTTAGTGTGGATGTGTATTTATATATATGATATATATTTCTATATCTACTAGATATATATATTTGTGTGCGATGTAAATATATGTGTGTGGCATGATATATTTAACTACAAGACCATGTTAAATCCAAAAACGCCTCTAATAATAATATTAAGTTAGTAAACATAAGTGATTAAATTAACCCACGTGACTTTCCATCATTATATGTAAAAATTATTTTTCGAAATAGGTTGAGTTGGTCGAGTCACTTGAAACTCACATATGTTGAGATTTGAGATCTTGCCTATGACACGTTATGCTTGATCGAGTCCCTCGAGAGTATATCATCAAATCAAACTTATATTATAATGATGATGTTAACTTAATCGAACAACATGGTTGGTCGAGTCCCTCAAGGCCATGATAGTTTGAAGGTCGAATAGGACAAAAATCATAAAAAGTTATGATTGGCAAACGTTACCTACCATTTGGGCTTAGTATGATTACTCGAGTCTCTCAAGATCGTACTAAGATGCCAATTGGATCTCGATCTCCATTAGAAGTCCGTCGAAAATTTTCAATTCACATGTCAAAGGATGTCGTGTGCGAGAAAATAGTGGGAGCAGATTAAGACAAAAGAAGAAAAAGGGGAATTGGGCCACGTCGTATGAGATTAATGCCTTTTGTCACCAAGCGTGCAAACCTTCTTGAAATCATGATCGACAAGGGATGATAGATTACTCGTGACAAGTAATCCATGAAGGGGAGAAGGGAGGATAGGCTTTGTTGCGTGGGATTAATGCACCCTGTGATTAGCTCGTGCGACCCTCTCGAAGATTGAGGCACGTAAGGGTCAATGGATCATGCTCCTGATGACTTCCGCATGGGATGGGTGCAGGTTCTTCTACTCGCATCATTGTCTAGGTAGTCTCGGGTTAGGTGACTTGGTAGTATAATGTTTATCTCGTTACTTTCCCCGTTAATCTCTATTTAAAAGATAATGATTTCGTTGCTTGCCTTTTTTTTGTTTATCATATGTAAATTATTTTAAAAATAATTACTTAAGTGTCACTAGGCTTTTACGGGTAATTCTTAAATTTATGATTATGATGATGTTTAAGATAAGATTTGAGTTCATGAATTATCAATTTTTATCGACTAAGCAAATTAATAATTTTAATATGTTGAATAAGGTTTCGAACCTTAAACCTTTCGTAAATAAATTTGACACAACATCATTTAATATATATATATATATATATATATATATATATATATATATATATATATAATATTTAAAATTAGAAGTAGTCGTTTATTATGATTTAATGGTTAGATTGAATTTTCTTGAATGAATGTTTGATAGAAGGGATAAATAGATAATATATACATATATATATTTCGTCATCATTCATGCTAATTCCATATGCACACATCAATATTGAATTTCATTTACACAATATTTTTATGCATGCTACTTGAGAGTCCAACAATTGGCTTTGTAAAGCAACTTAACAATTGTGTTTTATTTTTGTATAAAAAAATAACATCATAATTTAATTTAATAATATGATTGATCCATGAATCTTGTTAAGCCATTTTTACAAGTCGAGTTTAAAATTCACAATATTTAATTTATCAATTAAAATAATATTATAAGCAAATAACATATTAAATGAAGGTCTATCATCAATGTCAAAGAGGTAATTATATAACTTTAATTCTTAATATTATATTATATATTATGTAAAAAGAACACCTTATTGGATCCACTATTGCCACCTGCCACCGCTATTGATAAATATAGTATGGTTATTTAAAAAATATATATTTTACAAGAATTTTTTTTTTAAGTTATGAAAGAAAACTTTTAAAATTATGATTTTTTTAAGAATTCGCTATATATATATATATATATATATATATATATATATATAT